TGGGAAAAAATCGAAATATATATTAATATGCATGATTTTAAGAATCTAAACCATGTGCGGTTAATCCAATTTTAGGGGTCCCTGCATATAGTCGCACAAGACATCAAGTGACCATATTTGCATGATTTAGATGTTCTATGAACTTAGCCGAATTAGTTTGATGACATGAAACCTAGATGTTGCAAAATCTAATAAAGTAACTATTTTCGGTTTACATAGGAATCTGGTACAAAAAAAGATACCAGCCCTCAAGGGGTATCGAAATAAAGTCTAAAGTACTAGCCCCTCAAGGAATACTTTAGGTGGTTTTATTTTAAATAGATAGATATATATATGAATAAGTTATATAACTATTAAATCAAACAAATCGAATAAATAGATGTGTATAATAATTAATATATTTATGCTTCTATTTCTAAAAGTCGCTTTTGGAATCTAGACCGCAATTGACTCTTTTTACGAATTATCCAATCATATGGAATGGTATATTCCTGATACATACTAATTTCAAATTCAGCATCATAAGGATACCTATTATATTTTTTTATATACTCGGCATATTCTTTATTAAGACGTATTTTAATTTGATCTAGAGATACAGGATTTTTTATTTTATATGGAATTAATGTTAGAAATTTCCTATCATCTGGAGTATTATCATTCAGTAAGCTGTTCCAAGCAAGTTGCGCATTTGATGGCTCTCTTTCCTTAAAGTTCCTGAATGCCTGTTGAATAATCCTTGCACATCCCGTTTTTGTTAGGGGTCTAGAACATTCGTAATCATAATGTGGTTTCATTAAATCGAATTGAGTTCTATCAAATGGGTCCAAATTTGTTTTGACATGCATAAGTTTCATACACTGGAAACATATTGCAGTCCCATCTTCATATGGTTTAGGTCTCTGATAATAATGTTTATCGAAATTCCCACCTTGTGGGTGAGAAGCATGGAGACAATATTGGTGATACAAACTATGTGGTCCCCCATGAAAGCATCTCTTGAAGAGCGAGCCTAACACGGATAGCCCACTGAACTGGCGTTTCATCCTGATCGATTATACTAATAAAGTCATAAGGTTTCTCACGCCCTATAATAAAGTCAAGAGTAATTTCGCCACTAATCATTATTTCGACTATTCTATTTGTTTCATAATATGGTCTGTTAATGTGGTTATTATTAATTTGAGACATATTTAACAATTATGTGTTTATAAGACTTATATACGATTTTAACAAGTTTATAGTATAGAATATCACAATTCATTTTTGTTCGATATAATGATAGAACCAGGTTTATTTTTCATGAAGAAAAAAATAACGATTCATATAATTATTTGGGTCTTTGTTCCACAAGATTATTTCTGTGACACCGCTAAATTATTTTCTCACTATATATATATGAATTAATTAATAAAGCCTTTTCCTTACTGTAGATAGCTTTTCCGATAAGAAAAAATACAAACGAGACTCAAAAAGGATACGAATGAGGAGAGTTTATTGTTCTTTATCAGCAATAATATCAAAATTCATATATTACGGGACTTGAGATCCGAGATCGCCAAAATTTGTCTTATTTTTTATTCTACAAAAGCGATCATCAGACTGAAAGGTTTAATTTCCCATAAATGACGAAATATATTCAGTTCTTGGCGCTTGTGATTCTAATAGAATTGCTTTATGGGGCAGAGATCTGGCAAATGGTTGGGGGTAACGTAATTACTAATCATGTAAATTTTTTTCTAGCGAGTAGTGAATGAAGCGATATAAATAAACTGGATTTGTGAGGCATCATTTCTTATCTTTTCGCAATTTTTATAAGGTAACGTGTTTGGTTTGCTGGTGTTCATTATGCATTATTTGCAATAAGGACACTATCCATTGTAAATGAATTTTTACTTATTACAGAACTTTATATTAGGAAACGCAAAATGACCAATCCTATTAGTCTCAAGTGTCGTTTTCCAGATGGTGAATATTTTAATATTGAAATATGTAAGGAAGATAAGGTTGCCACACTTAAAAAGCGATTGAAGGTCTGTTGGTAAATCAAGGTCACCAAGAGCTTTCTATTAATTTCAATCTCTACGCAATTATTCCTATGGAGTCGACAGCCGAGGTTTCTGAATATTTCAATGCTACTCCAGTTACCAGCCTAAATCAAGTTAACCTTCTCATAAAACCAAAGGAATAATAATTATTTTTTTATTTACGTCTGCAGTATGTAACTGCGATATGTTTTTTATTTATTTTTATATTGTTATTTCGGTAACATTTTTTATATATCAATAAAGTAAGGTTCTATGTAACCATTTGTCTCAATCGAATTATGTGGATGTCCATGCTTTATTTTCATCAAAATCACGTGTGCATAAAGAATCTTTACACCGATCGCTTTTGACAAGAAAAAAAAATTGAATGTGTCTAATACTTTAATATAATATGTCATTATACATAGGATATTAATATGTCCCGCAAATCTAGAAATAACAGACATAAAACTCAAGGTAAATTTACCACAAATTCTACGCAGTATATGCAATTTAAGAATCTGATTAAATATATGCATGTCATAGAAGGTGAAAATATAGTTATAATTAATAGGAACACGCAAGATAGGAAGGCAGTATTTGATTATGGAGAGTTATGTAGATATTTAGAGGTGAATAACATCAAATCAGGTATTCATAGCAGAACTGGAGAGGGTAATATGCATTGCAAATAAATTGGTTTATTGTTTTTAATACATGGAGTATATGACTCATATTTTTTATAAATAGTTTGTTAGCAATAAAATTCAAAGAAATATAAGTAAGAAATAAAAATCAAACCTATGGTGAAGTCACTGTTGAACTTTTTTCTATATGTCTTTGTGATCTGGTTACTGACGCATGAAATAGTAGAGATATGTTTGTAATTATTATATTCCATAAAATTAATAAAGTTTCAACAAAGTTAGTTACTATATCTTCATTAGATAATTGTACAGGAATTTCAGCTGATCGTATATGGTAATATCTATGAATATCAGCCTTATCCCTAATCAGAACATTTAGATACTCCCTGCTATTTGCACTCCAACAATTCCAAACTCATCTTTATCTGGTTTGAGTCCTTTACGTGTCCAATACATACCATCATTAGTTTCACGCCATAATTTCACTTCGTCATCTATCTTTTTTTGTTCCGT